TAGCTCCCTGCCCCCAATATGGAGTGTCTTACAAATTTTCATGTCATCCTTTCTCATGGATCATGCTAATCTCATCCCTGCCTAATGCATTCTCTTCTTCCCTGCCTCCACTCTCCTTTTTCCTTCAGTTCCTCTTCCCATACCCTAGCAGCCTCTGTCTTTTCTCCTCTCTTCATTTCTACTCGCCCCTTCTCCTCTTTTCTCCTGTCTTCTCTTCTCCCTCTCTCCCTCTCTTTTTCTCTTTACTTCTTCCATCCTTCCCTTTCTTCCCTCCCTCCCTCCCTCTCTTTCTCTCTCTTTCTTTCTTTCTTTCTGTCCTTTCTTTCTTTACCTTCCTTCCTTCTATCCTTCTTCCCCCTCCCTCCCTTTCTTTTTCTTTTTGGTTTCCACAAATATGGAAGAACACATATGATACTTTTTTATTCAGGGTCTGGTTAACTTCATCTACTTTCCTGAAAATGATTTCATTTCATTCTCTTTTTAATGACTGAGCAATACTGCAGTATGAATGTATAGCATATTTTCTCTATGCATTTATTTGTGGATAGACATTAGGCTGACTCCATGACTTGGCTCTTGTGGGCAGTCTGCAGTAAACATGGATGTATATGGGTTTCTATTGTATGCTGACTTACTTTCTTTGGAGTATCTATTCAGGAGTGATAAATCTGGATCCTATAATGGTTCTAGTTTTAGTTTTTGGAGGAACCGCCATACTGATTTTCATAGTGGCCATACTAAAAGCAGTGTAGTGACTTTCTCCCTCCTTATTTGCTATTTTAATCTTTGGAAGTTTATTTTTTCTTGTCCTTGCACTACAGACAAGAATCATTGCAAGTGAAAGTAAATTTATGCTACCCATTTAACTATTTATTTGATTATATATTTGACTACTGAATTAACTATTTAATCATATATTTATTCATTTTCTTGTGCTGGTACTGGGGCTTGAACTGAGGGACAGTTGCTTGGCTTTCTCACTCAAGGCTGGTACTCTGCCACTTGACTTTCACTTTCAGCTTTTTAACTGGAGATGAGTCTCATAGACTTTTCTACCCTGACAGCTTCAAGCTGCAATCCTCAGATCTCAGCCTCCTGAGTAGCACCCAGTGCCATTTTATTTTTATTTTATTTATTATTTTTGCCAGTCCTGGGGCTTGAACTCAGGGCCTGGGCACTGTCCCTGAGCTTCTTTTGCACAAGGTTAGTGCTCTACCACTTGAGCCACAGAAACACTTCTGGCTTTTTCTTTTTATGTGGTGCTGAGGAATCGAACGCAGGGCTTCATGCATGGTAGGCAAGCACTCTACCACTAAGCCATATTCCCAGCCCATTGTTGAATTATTATATGTTCTTCATATTGGTTCTCTGGCAAAGGTTTACTTCCATTCTGTAGGCTGTTTCTTCTCTCTGTGAATTATTTCCTTTGCTCTGTAGAACTTTATATTTAATACTATTTTTCAGTTCTTGCCTTTATTTGCTGAGTCATACGAGTCAATTCCAGGTTCTCTTTGCCTGTGCCAACATTTTGCAGAAT